AGCTGCACATAATCGTCGTCATATTCTCCAGATTGGTTTAAAGTCCTTGATTTTTGTAATACGATGTTTGCTTTTTGAGGAGAGGCATAAACAGTGTAAACATGCATGTGAGGTATGGGGTTTATTTAGGGAGGCGAAAGGAACATTTCCACTGGAGTGCTTCAGAGGTGTTTTTGATGAAATGTAATACTTGACAGCTTATTTTTGTGAAGCTTTTAATTATGTAGATACCGACATAACTTCATTTTAATCTTCTGTTTTTACATTTTGTTGTATACAATGGCCATAAATTGTAAAGGCCTTTCTTTTGATGAAAACCAATCAACATGTTTTACAAGTGAATATGTGCTTATAACCAAGTTTGTTGTGTACATTAATACCATATGACTCTCTAAATGTTGTCTATAAAGAAAAGGATAAAAGTACAACCTAGGTTAGGTTTTTAACTGTAATTCTTTTTTCAGCCAATAGGTGGCGAGGTTTCTCTTTGGATGTCTCAACTGGTGCCTGTATTTGTTTATGCTCAAGCTTCTAACTTTCTTGTTTTACTGCACATGACTGCACAGGTTCATGACACGCCCCGATGTGAAACAAAAGTGCCTTGGGGACTTTTTGAACTGGAGCCTCACCACCATATCTGAAACCGATGACCAGTCAGTGAAAAGCACCAAGGAGCTGGATGGTGCTCTGCAGTCTCTGGTAAACACTCTCAGACAGCAATCACACTTAAGCCTGCGGTGCTGTGTGTATGCCTGTCTGTGTATGCTTAATGTTAGTGTAATCAATGTGCACTGTTGTATAAAAACCTGCACAGGGTAATTTACAGGAGCTGACATGACTGGTATGTCTTACACAATGCCTCGTGGTTTTGGCAGGTGTGTAATACACCTGCTGTGTGTGTGTGTGTGTGTGTGTGGGGGATCTGCTTCTTCAAGTGACTTATGTCTGTCTAATCCACTGCTGTAAGCGAAACGGGACTTCAATGAGTACGTGCAAATGAGAACAACTTTAAGGGTACTTTGTTTCAAGGAATTCCACTTTTCCAACTGGATGCCTTGTGCATTACACCTGTTCTCAAAGCACATTTTCAAACCACTTCCTGTGGGCTAAGGTAATGCAATGCAGCCCTCAGGCAAGTTTATTACTTTCATGTCAGTGGCATATGAACTGGCATAACATGTTGAGAAAGTTTCTGAAAGGTGAACGTGTTGCTTAGGGCGCTCCAAATTGCCTCTGTTTGTTCAGTCCACAAGTCTCAAGGACCCATCCTTTCTTGGTTTATTTTTTGTTGGTTTTTTAGGGTTTGTGTGTTTGTTTAGATTGATGTTAAAGTACTGCGATACTAATGTGTGTTGTTTTTATCGTTATAATTATTTTTTAGTTTGTCTGTTAGTATTTCTTAAATGTTTTACACCTGCTCAGTTGTTACAGGAGAATCTTGTATTGATTTGTTTTCTAATTTGTGTCCCCTAGGCGAAGCTTTTCAAACACGGCAAAAGGGATGACCTCCTCCAGTATGGTAGGTTCCCTTTTCTGTCTTCAAGGTCACACATTATCCTCATTTTCAATCAGTTCAAATAAGTCTCAGAGCTCGCCAAACCATTTCTTTGAAGTTTCTTGTTCTAAATCCACTCTGATCCTGTATTTGATCATGTCTATAAACCCCTCTATTTCAGCCCTGCTCAGAACAGGCTGTTTCTGTGTCTGTAGCTTAAAAATGCAAATGAGCTGTGTCTGAGCCCCAAGAAGGGCTTGGGTGGCTTGGGATTTCTTGCACCATGCCCTATTGTTAGCAGTTGAAAGGCAGACTCAAAGAGCAGAGCAAAGACCTAGCTGTGCGAGTGTCACCCACCTGGGGGAGGAGTTACTGCCCTTTGTGATGTCATGAAGGGAAAATCTCCAAATAGCCTGTTTGAACACACATTTTCTGAAAAGTGGAGCAGGCAAAAGAAGATAATTGAGTGGTGTTGGCAAGTTAGGGACACATATTAATGTTCAAAATAACATGGTTAAGTGTATTATACATAATATGTGACGTTTACATTTACGTACAGTGATTGCTCAACAATTTGCTTTCTCATCTCCAAGTGGAAGTCAAATCACACAGTTTTGGTAGCATAATTCGTAGTCTTTGTTCAGTTGCTTATGCCTGTGGTAACAGAAATAATCTTTCTTTTACCTCTTGCCAGATACCTACAAAACCATGTATGGTATAATCCTGTTAACAGATAATACATAACAGACTATATGCATGCTGATGTTTATTTTTTTTTATATTCCAGCTCCTACAATCCTGCAGTGCCTGGAGAAGAAACGTCTATCGGAGAGCAGTTATTCCATGCTGAGGAAGCTGGATGTCAAAATGATCCAGAGGCTTGGCCTCACCTTTCTGAAGCCACGTTTAGCTGCTTGGAGGTCAGGCAACAGAGCATCTTAGTATATAAAATGCTGTAAATACTGGGTCTTAAAATAAGTTAGGTTGGAACTGTTATCTTCATCATTCATTAGGATATAGTCTATTACCATAAATACTATGCACATCATTTGGTCTTACAAATTTAAAAAAACAACAAGAAGAAATGCACATCACTGTTTTCCAGAGCCTCAAGTACACTCTTCAAGTTGCCCCTTTTTCCCACCTCAAATTGGAAGACCTAAAGGCTTTTCCTTTACTTTAATAAATGGCAAAGAAAAGCAGTACACCTTCACATTTGTAACCTGGAACAAGTAATTGATTTAAAAATGGCGGTTATGATCATATACTATGTATTATATACAGTCTATGGTGATGATTGATCAATTTAAAGAATAGTTGGCTGTAGATTTTCTCCTACAATCCATTTGTGTATCACATTGACAGAAAAAAAAATCAGTGTGTGTTTCCAAAAAACAACAGCTGTCTTATAGTGAGTAATGCCTCTTCTGTCACAACAGGAGAGCCTAGAGCTGAATGCCTTTAACATTTTTTTTGTGTGCATGTTTTTCAGGTACCAGAGAGGCAGCCGCTCCCTCGCAGCGAATCTCTCTATGTCCCAAAGCGATGCAGTCACTGCTGCTGTTACTCCGGATGTGGAGACACAAGAACAGGAGGAGGACTATGACATTCCTGAGGAAGTTGAGACTGTTATTGGTCAGTTTCCAGCCTTCATGAAAATGTTTGTTATTGCAATACCTCTACTTTGGAAATTCAATCTGTATGTTATCTTACAGAGAATCTTCTGGCGGGACTGAAGGATAAGGAGACGATCGTGCGCTGGTCTGCAGCAAAGGGGTAACAATGTGTTCATATGTCAACTAGTAAAACTAGACTGTTGACCACAGCCTTGGTGTAACTTGTATTTTATATAACCAAATGCAAACCTGTGCATTGATTATGATTTTGCATCTTTTAAAGAGCTGAAGTTAACTTACTGAAAGCCCAGCCTGAATCTAAACATTTCATCTCAAAATGTGTTTGATTGTTTTCCAATTTAAATCTGTATTGTCTGATCAAATCAAAACTGCCTGGGAGGCTGATCTTGGTGGAGAGTTCCCTCAGTTGGTGTAGAGGGCGGGTATATAAAGGATACACCAAAGTTCAACTAATACTAGGTTGCAACTGATTCAGTTTAAAGCTATGCATAGATTCCGCTTGTCTAAAGAAGAGATGAACATTTACATACTTTTAGGTCATACCCAAAGATTGTACCTTTTTGTCAGGACGTCTTTAGCTAGTGCTGTAAAATGTATGATTTAAAGATGGAACCTGATTGCCTTGATTGCCTTCTTTGGTTTCTCTGAAGCTTCTCTTACATTACCACATAATGTGCAGCAGACTGTTGTGTTTGTTACGTTAGTGGCTAAGAATAATTGTAAAGGAATGGAAGGCTACCAGCGCTCCCTGTTTTTCTAGATGGATTAGAGAACTAGTGTCTGGAATACATCTTAAACTGCATCATAGCCATAGACATGGCTTTAGTGAAAAATGTGAACAAATCTGGGGTCCAGTCGGGAGACATCTTAATTCTTCCACTTTTTATTTGTAGTCTCTGCTTGGTGACATCCATGTGTTGTGTCCTTTGACATATGCTATTTTGAGGCTGAAGCTTTGCTGTATTTACCCTAAGATTGGCTTCTTGTGTTTGTCTTTTGTTTTGTCCGTGTCTTGTTTTTTATTTTTATTTTTTGTGTAGTATTTGTGTTTTTTTTTGTTTGTAAAATGAAATCTAAATATAATAGCTCATCTGAAGGGTTTTGTGTGTTACAATAATCATTTGCTTTATTTGACCTCTCAGCATTGGGAGGGTGACTGGGAGGCTTCCCCAGGAGCTGGCAGATGAGGTGGTTGGATCAGTGCTGGACTGCCTCAGGTAGGCTCAGGCATAATGGCCCTCTCCTCTTGTCACACCATTTTCGTCATCATTTCTTAGATATGTTTTAATTTTGCAAGCAGCCGAGTATCCCTCTTAACGTTTTTTAATGTTTGACCTGTGTTGTGTGTGTGTTGTGTGTGTGTTGTGTGTGTGTTGTGTGTGTGTGTGAATTAATCTTAAAGCTTCCAGGAGACCGACAATGCTTGGCACGGAGGCTGCCTTGCACTGGCAGAACTTGGTAGAAGAGGCCTGCTGCTGCCTTCCAGATTGACAGATGGTATGTGTAAACAAATACTAATTGGGAAACAGTTCTCGTAAGACACTTGGAAGTTGTTAGCAATACATTTATTCATCATATATACATTTACAGTACAGTCTTACGTTCAATCTTCTGTTCTTGCTATGTACTTGCTTTCTTTACATACTTGCTTTGTCCAACTTTAAATATTCAGAACCCAAATAAAAGTTGCCTTTCAACTTGCCCAATCAAGTGTCAGAACAATACATAACATACACTACCTGCGCAAGTCAGTGTGTAACCGTTTTGCTGCAGTGTTTTACAGCAGATATTACAGTCACATTTATACTGCTAGAATAAACAGATTTTTCAGTGCTTGATTTAGGTTCATTAAGTTCATTTAAATCCCATTCAGGCTTGCAGCAATAAAGGTTGGAAATATTCTGTCCTTATTACCAAATGTACAAAGAGTCAGAGTTCAGCTGTTAGCAGCATCGAGGCCTCCTCCTCAGAGCACGCCCTGCTGCTTTTGCTCTCTTTTTTTGTTTATGGCAGTTGCTTTCAGCCTGACCACTACTTGCTCTTTTCATGCCGGTTGCTTTAGTCTTAGTTATGTGTTTGGTCTTTTTTGGAGAGTCAGGCCTTTTAGCCTCTGAGAGCTCATCTGCAGTGCTGAAGTCACATGACGAGGCAGCAGAGCTTGCGATGGCTAGCTGACACAGCGCTAGTGCTGCAGTCTGCCTTTGGTCAAATGGTTCCTCTTCCTGCTCAGCGTCTGACCCCAGCTCAGGGTCCTCTGAAGTGCCCAGGGCAGAGCCACATGCTGGGCTATTGCAAGAGGCACGCAGGCTGAGGTTCAGAGGTGTATCCGCTGACTTTAATTCCTCGATGTCAGAGCACCTCAGTCTACTGTCAGATGAACTGTTTTCTCTCTCCTGATTTCTCATCGAGAGGTTGAGAGGTGTCAGATCTTCTCTGCTGGCCTCAGTATTCTTTTCTGATGTTGTCTGCGGAAAAGGCTCAGAGACTGACATAGGGGGACACGTGCGACTCTCAGGTGATCTAGAAAGTAAAGGCAAAGAGAAATAATTAAGAACCATAATTACAAATACAACATACAGCAGCTCAATAAAGACAGAAAGTAAATGATCAATTTCTGAAAAATTACGTACCCTCCGTTTACATGTAGGGTTCTTAACTGCAGCAAGCTTTCTGCAGACTCCTCGCGTCTCTCGTCAGGTTCAGTGGGTTGCACAGCATTATCTGTGTGTCCTATTTGGGTGGTTGTCTGTGACATACCTATGTCGGTGTGGTGGCGACCATCTGCATCTCTCTGGATTATGTGGGCATGACTTGGTCTGTCAGGGGACCCCAAGGCTGAACAGCCCTCTTTAGGACTTAGCCTGGTTTCCTTGTCTCCGCTTTGCACATGGTTCTTCTCTTCTTGTGTGGATGTGTTGAGGCTGTTGTAGCTGGGATGTGAATGCATGTATATTTCATAATCTTTAGGCCCAAGTGTTGGGCCGTACAACTCCAAAGGTATATATCTGGGTCCTGTAATTGCCATAGAAAGCTCATGGGGTCTGTACAGGGTGTAATGTAGAGGGGGGCCTGCACTAAGAGGTTGGCAGTATCTGTATGGGTACGGGGGAAAGAGGTGAGGTGGAGCAATTGGTTGTGGTACTACAGGCCTCTGTGGATCCAGGAACTGTGGTTGTAAAGAAGATGAGTTTGACTCACTGACGTTATGGTTTCCTGAGAGGTAGTATGGTGGGTACAGCGACCGTTCAGGCAGGAGATAAGGGGAGTATTCTGGAACAATCGGAGGAGGGAATGGTTTCAAGGGGAGAGATGATGAAATTTTTCCCCATGAGAAGCCTGGGTGGTTGAAAGAGGGAACAGAAGCTGGTGAATCTTCTGACTGCTGCACAGGTGTCTTGAAGGCTTCTGTGCTGTCATTTTTGGGTGTGACAGCATAGAAGGCAGAAGGGCGGGGTAGAGACTTGGCCTCAATGCTCTCGTTGTTCTCTCTCTCTGTGTCTGTATTTGATTTTGTCAGACTGCTGTCCTTAATGAACGGACTATCACGCCCGACATCTACTTCTTCTACTTCTTCAGTGTCGTCTCTGCTCTCAGCTCTGTTCTCCTCGGCTCCCCCTTTCTCAGGGCTGTTTTTCAGAGTTTCTGGTGTGGGGCTTGGACAATCCTTTGATTTTAAAGGGACTTCTTTTGCCACAGCCTTGGCCTGTCGGGCCGTCGGCCCGCATTTCTGTGACATCAGGGAGATGGAGTTTTTACACAAGTTGTATTTCATGTGGTTAAAGAGATGGGACTTCTCATTGCAGGTGAAAGGACACTGGAAACACTGGTACTTGAAGGGCTTGCCTGGCGGCCGGGGAATGTAGTGTGGCCTTTTTGGTTTGCGTTCCTGAGCAGTTTCCATCTTGAACGGAGCACTCGTTTTCTGTATCAAAAATAAACACATTGTTAGGGGAGCTCATAGTAATTTAGATTTTCTAGCAGTTACACTTCTCCAACAATTGAAGCTGTTGGAGAAGTTTCCATTAAAGCCTACGAGACAAAATGTAAGAGTCACTGTTGAATCATCATAGCTTTTGTATCAGCTCTCACTGAGCTGACTGTCAACGTATTAGGCTAATAGTTGTTGGACTGGTTCAGTTGGAGAGTGGCTCGCATTGGAAAGTTTTCCTGCTTCATGTGTCTCAAGCTGCACAGGCAGAAAAATCTCTCGCTGCACAAAACGCCGCACCCTCAGGCTAATGTATTCCTCCAACTGTTAGTTCAAATTACTGATGAAAACCTGTGGACGGTATGCAAAACCCTCATGTTTGCATAGTGCAGTTTTAAGGTTGATTGGCAGCTACCTCCAAACGCCTCTGCACAGCTTGCCCGTTCATCTGTCTATGTGTTCTGATATCATTGCATGTATCTGTCCTGTAAAAGTTAGAGCTGTTGAGGTACCCGGTAGGCAGGTGCTGGGCAGACTAGGCACTTACTAACACAGACCTGGAGGGCATGCAGAGACTTGCTCTCACTCTCACTCTAACCTTACTAAACTCTGCGCTGTCGGCGTGGGAACCAGCAGCCACCTGCTTCCCATGACTACACCTGCGGGATGTGCTCAGCTAGCAGTCATCTTCATTTGATTATTGATGAGCTCACCCGCTCTGGACATACGCAAGCATGAGAAGTACTTTTTTGAAAAATCTTCCAATAATGTTTCCAACTTATTATGAGCAGTGATGGTTCAAACTAGCTATTTCAGTAAAGCAGGGTGGCATCTGAAACTCTTCAGCTCTGCCTTTGAAATGAAACATCACCTAAAGCTGTGAGTTAAGTGCTGCTGGGCGCTGCACAGAGGAACCTGCTTGTCATGCGCTGTCGCAAGAAGTTGTCACTCAAGTTTCTGTGCAACTGTAGTGGCATGCAAAGCCACTCCCTTTTTAAGGACCAACTTTCATTCCAATTCTCCTTTTTAAATTCTGGATCTCTACACTTATAACCCAGTCAAAAGCCCTGTTTTTCATTTTCACAAATAATAGGTTTTCATCTTAATATTTAATATTAATATTAATTTGATCTCTATGAGCTCAGCCTTTCTACAAATTATCAACCAGTCTGTAGAATTATTCAAATTGTAAAGTCCAACAAAAGGAAATGCTGTCTAAGGATATGCATTTTCCAGAAGGTTTACTGTAAGACTTTTCATTTAGCACTCTCTGTGCATCACTGTGGTAAGGGAATAGTTCAAATCCATAGGTAACAGGTGCATGTGCCGTACCTACCCTAAAGCCACCCAACAAACGAGCAAAAACACGACACACACAGGCGTTGACAAAGTGCTTTAAAAAGTTAATGAAAGTAGTAAAGTCACTAAATTTAGCTTATTTGGTAAGATATATATATATATATATATATATATATATAAAAAAAATAATAATAATAACCTTACCTGCTCTGGCCGTAGCAACAGTGTCCTCTCCTGAGCTGCCCCACAGTCCACAGCCAGCGTGACTATCTGGTCAGGACGTCCGCTCCAGTATGTGCTTAAAGTTCAGAGTGTGTTAGTTAGTGTGAGTGATGTTGCGTTTGTCTGCTGTATTTGGTTAGTTGTATGGTGAGTTTCTTTCTCTGAGGTGTTGTCTCACATGTGGGTGGGGCTTCAGCCCAAACAGCAGGGCCCTCAGGCAACATTGATGTACCTGATATTAGTCAGGCCTCAAGCGATGATTTACATGACGAGGCGGGGTGGGGGCTCTCACTCCTACTTCCTCTTTAAAGTGGATTAAACATCTTTATGTTGAGTTTAACTTTAATTATTTACAAGCCGTCAAGGTTGACATGATATTTGCATACTTCTTACATCCTTTCTAATGTGAGCAGTGTTCAAGGAGTAGAGTATTACAGATTTAAAACTTTAAGAAATGTGAGAATGCTCTAAACCACTTACCTCCCAAATTAAAGTTTTACTTTCTTATTATGATAACAAAGGCAAGTACCAATTATTATAACGAGGACAAAGAAGAGGTGGTCAGATATGCCATGCATTCAGTTTGAGTTGAAAGAGATGGACTCAAACTGGAAAATCATTTCCAGCCACATTGTTGTGAGGCATGCACACATTTTTTCTGTTGTGTAAGATCTGTTAAATCTGTCATTTTGCTCTATTTTATTTGTTCTGGACATTTTTCTTTCTGATGCTTTAAATCAGTTCTTTAAGGAGGACCAACTATCAAAAACTTCAATTTCACTTTTCTGCTTTTGTCTTATTGTGCTGTTTACCAAGTTTTGAAGCTAAGGTTATCAGAATTAGAAGTAATATCCTTGAAAAAATAAACAATAAACTCTACAGTAGACACTAGATACTACATGTTGGGCAGCATTTTACATATATTACGTCTTGATCTAGTCATCCAATTTTTTTCTTTTGCTTTCAGTCGTGCCGCTGATCATCAAATCCCTGACCTATGAAGAAAAGAGGGGAGCATGCAGCGTTGGCGCCAATGTGCGTGATGCTGCTTGCTACGTGTGCTGGTCTTTTGCCCGGGCCTATGAACCCAAAGAGCTCGAGCCTTTCGTCACCCAGATTTCCAGGTAACCTTCCTCCCCGTTTTATTTTTCTATAAATCATTCACTCATAGCTCACAGCACGAATATAAGTTCACTGTAACAGTAACATAGGAACAGTTTTGCTACTGTTATGCCTGCCCTGTAATACTACTAAAGTCTCATCCAACTTGTCTTGCTGCTGATTGCTGTTAATATATTGCAATGAACATGTTAACGACATTAATACCATCAAATATCATCATTGATTTTCCACACTTGCCACCACTACAAAATAAGTCTGCATTTCCCTGATCAAAAGGAAAAATAATGTCAAATATATAAAGCAGAGAGAACTGCAGCCTATAACCATCTTTTTTTTTATTTACATCCACACTGTCACTGACGTATATATCGGAGGTTAAGCCCATAATAAGCCAATGACATGACCAACATACTGTGATTAGAATCCCTAAGTGTTTAAAAATGTAATGACCGCAATCAATAAGAATAAACAGTTTGATCATTAGAAGATTTCTTTGAGCTGCTGCCTGTTGTGTATTTGGTTCTGCAGAAATGACATCAAGCACATTAATGCTGTACAGTTTTCTAATATTCCTGGTTTGTATGATTGTATATTTTCAAGAATCAACAATCAACAACAACAACAACTGAATCCAACATAAAAAAAAAAGAAGAAGATATTTTACCGGTGAGAAACTCCGGCGCAGTCTAGGCCTGTGAAGTCTGTTTCATCATGAGCTGGGGATCCGGCCGAAGATTTCTGCCTTTTAATAAGGCATTTTTTTCTTACCACTGTAACTTTTGCTGCTTTGCTAAAGTGCTCATGATGGATAGGCCGGATCTTTGTAACATAACAATCTTTTTACCTGCTCTTTTGTAATGTTAACAGACAAAGAGTAAGGTATTTTACCTGCTTTTTGTAAAGTGTCTTGAGATAACACTTGTTATGAGTTGACGCTATACAAAATAAATTGAATTGAATTGAATTGAATAGGGGTTCGATCCCCACCTCCTGCAACAACATGTCCGATGTGTGACTGTGCTTGAATGGGATTGGTCACTTCACATATAAACCTCTGTCATCAGTGTGTGAATGTGTAGGTGTGACCTGCGGTGTAAAAGCGCTTTGAGTAGTCAGAAGACTAGAAAAGCTCTATACAAGCTCAAGTCCATTTACCATTTACATGCTTTCTGAATTCAAAGGTAGTTATGACAAAAATTGTTCGGTGCTGTCAAGTACGACATGCTGTCGACCGATTAGCTCAGTGAATGCCCCTTTTTTTCTCAAGAATTAACTGTTTTTCTTGTGGGCCTTCAAATCTTCATTTAATAGAAGAATCCAAATATTGTAATTTAATTTGCTCCTGATGCAAACTAAGTGCAGTTTCTTTTAATCAGCTTTGGGACATTCTGACATTTATTTACAGTTAACTGGAATTATAATCACCGTGAAGTTTCTCTCAAGATCTACTGAATATGAAAACGCAGGTTTAGAGGGCATCATAATAATAGTTGTTTGCATGTAAAATTGTGAGACTAAATGTTAAATTGCTATCAGGTTATTGTGAAGGAGCACATGATTTATCAGAATCACGCCCCCTCAATATGACACATTTTCTTTAGTTCCGTGTCTATAAATGGTTTGTAATCCATTTGACTGACCTATTCTGATTTTTTTTTTTCCACCTGTAGACACCGTACATAAATGGTCTTTATTGAACGTGAGGCTTGCTTGTAAAAATGACTAATAAGCCATTTTTCATTCTCAGTAGCCAGCTTTAAAAAGTAATGAGTAACATTTTTAAACATGAAATCAGAACATGAAGCCAGTGTAGAGAAACTAGGATGCAATACCAGCCAATGACGTGCATTTAGTCAATAGTAACGGTTTACCGCCTCCTAGATCTCTTTTCTCTCGGTTGGCGTGTATGGACCTGTGTCCTCTGACTGTGCAGACCAGCTCTGCAGTGTCAGTTTGTTCCCTTGCGACTACCGTTATCATCAGTCGCGACAACACCCTCCCTTCCCCTAGCCTACAGGATTGCCAGGTTTCGCCTGTTGCAGTAGGTTTCGGTCGCCGTTTGGCAGCAATGCTCAGACAAGCTGGTTCCTGTTCTATTCATCACAGCCTGATGACATTTACAGAAAACTCATTTTTCTTAGTGTGGGACTTAGTGACTTGGGGGCACTCTCATACATACACAAGTTACAGTCACACTGTATACTTATTAAATGTAGCAGCCACAGAGATCATTCAGAATCTCCTCTGGGGCACTATCCAGAGTGCAACCAGGATTGTTTTTGTTTCTAAGCCTTTAGGGCAAGGGCAGTTAGTAAAGCCAAACTGTTACAGTTAGTTAGGCT